ATGGGCATCATCATCGGCAAGTCGTGGTCGGCCAAGAAGGACGAGCCCAAGACGCTTTCCGAGGCCGACGACAAGGAAACGACAACGACGTGCTCTCCAAGGCCCAGCGCCAGGCGTACCTCGACAAGATCTTCGAGTCGGCGCACATCCCGACGTGGTCGTGGGTCGGTGGCCTCGTCGTCTTTGCTACCGTTTCCGTCGTCGTCATCTCGCTCATGTTTGAGACCGTCAAGTGGTACAAGGTGCTCGTGTGCTGCCTCCTCATCCCGATCTTCGCCATCGGCATCGTCCAGGGCACGGGTATGACCGACTGGAACGTCTCGAGCGCCGTCGGCAAGCTCATTCTCTTTGTCATTGGCTCGTGGACCGACGGCAACGACAAGTCGATCATTGCGTCGCTCATTTTGTGCCAGATGGTCATCGTGGGTTGCTCGCAGGCCGCCGACCTCATGCAGGACTTCAAGACCGGCTACCTCGTCGGCGCGTCGGCCAAGTCGATGATCATCGCCCAGATCTTTGGCGCGTGCATGTCGTGCCTCGTCGTCCCGACCGTCTGGGTGCTCATGAACGATGCGTACACGCTGCCCGGCCCGCTCCTCAAGGCGCCGTTCGGCGAGGTATACCGCGTCATGGCCATTACGGCCACCGTCGGTCTCTCGGGCCTGCCCACGTACTGCGGCTACTTCATGCTCGTCGGCGTCGTCTACACGATCGTGTTCAATTTGTACATTGACAACTTTTCCGAGTCCAAGAACAAGGTGCTCAACGTCATCGCCAACCACTGCCCGCTCCCGATGGCCGTCTCGATCGGTATGATTGTGCCCGCCAGCTTCGGCCTCGAAGGCATGATCATGGCCGGTATCATCGCGTACTGGAAGTCCAAGGACGAAGACTCGTTCGAGAAGACGCAGTACATCCTCGCCGCGGGCCTCATGACCGGTGAGGGCTTCTCGGTCCTCACGCAGATCATCGTCACGCTCTGCGGCGGCAGCGCGCCCGTCCAGGTGTCGTATGCCATGACGCCGTAAGATCGCCCTTTGTCCTCGTGTCGTGTATGTAATCCAACCAAGTTTGCATTGAAATCTTCCAAGTGTTTCGATGGACGTCCGTCCTGGAAAGAGTTAGGTGTACTCGTTGAGAGTGGCGTGCCGTCGATAGCTACCGGTGGCTACTCGAGCCACCTACCGGTAGTCTTTTTGAGCGAAGACGACTTGCTTTGCGAAGAGCAGCACAGCCTGGCGAGTCAATTTAGTCAATTTCTGTCAAGTTGACAGAAATGGACCTCTACTGGCGCATTGGGACGAGGACCGACTCTCGTTCTTTCTGCAAAGTTTGATTCGACATCTACAGGGCGTAAAATCACCTTCTTTCGTCCGTGGTATTGGTGCTACGGTGTCGATCGAGTTGCGCCAAAATATACCGACGACACATAACCACATCGCGTTCATTCACAAGACATCTTCAAACCCAAAAAAGACGCCGACGAGGTAGCCGTCGGCGGTCAGCCCGCCTACGAAAGACGAGCTCACAATCTGGCCGCCGCCGTCACGGTAGTCGCACGTGACGATCTTGACGTCACTCAAATGCGCGCGAAGGTGCGCTTGCAACGGCTGAATGACGTTGCTGCAAAAGGAGCGGTGGGCCTCGCTGTTGGCGACGAGCGCATTGTAGGCGTAGTTGCGCCAAGACCGGAACGCGTTGACGTGCAGTCCGTGGGCGGCGATGAATGCGTGCCACACGTCCGGGATCTCGTTGTCCTCTTCGCCGTAGCCACCATCGCGTTCCAATTCTTCGTTCTCCTCGACAATACCAGCCGCCGAGCAGAACGCACACTCGCCGTCATCGGACACGTTGGACCAGTGCCATCCCACGCCATGGGGCACGCCAAAGCCGTTGTCGCGAAACTCAATTTCGTTGTTGTTGAAAATCTGGACCAAGTCGTCGCGGCCCCACGTCGTCAACGTCGGGTCCACGCGGCAGCTCGGCGCAAACAGCATCGGGCGCTCACCGAAAAGAGCGAATTGCTGGATGCCGCCCGCCGGCAGCGAGTACGTCGTTGTGATCGGGGCGATGATTTCGGCAAGCTTTTGGTGCACTTCCAGCGCTCGGTAAAGGGCCTTGGGGTCCGCGACACTGGCTTTCGCGCGCGCCACGAGCTCGTCCTTGCTGAGGTCCTCTTCGTGGTCGACATAGCCGTTCGTGACGTGCTTGCCACTGAGGCGGTTGAACGCTGCCTCATCCTCTTGGAAAGAGCAGCTCGCAACGTTCGAGAGATCGAATATGTCGTAGAGCGTCGGGCACAAAGCGAGACAGTTGGTGCTATAGTCGGTGATGGCACCGATGAGCGACGGGTTCGTAAGGACAGTGCTGGCACTGCACGGACGCTTGCCTAGCGACGACGGCGAAGCTGGGGCAGCGCGCTTGGTAGAGGTCATGCTGAGGCGAAAATGAAAATTGAGGGGAATATCCAAGGACTTTCTATTTCGGTGCGCTTTGCAGCTGCACGTTTTGAGCGCCGGATCGTTGCGACAGCGGGTATTATAACCGATGCGTCCACCTTTTAGTTTCGGATTGACCCAATGGATTTTTGACCTTGCTTTGATGAGAGCTGCGCTTTTCATCGCCATTTAACAGGAAGCGGATGGAACGGCGGTCTGAGAGTAGCCAACCGCAGGGGATGACGAATCGTGAGAGTTGTACCTGGGGACAGCGATCTCGAATACTAGTACAGCAATAAACCAGCGCACCTTGCTGAAGGTCGAGCTGCTGGGTTGCTGCCTCCACCATATGCATAAGCATCCCTCGAGCTCTCTCGCAACCAGATGCGCTTGTACCTTTTCGATTCAGCACAAGCAAGGACTCACGCCAAAGCTGATCGTTCGTCGTGCTCTTGGAGCGCGCTGGCAACACCTCAACGTCCCTACGGTCCATCACTCTGTAAAAAGACCACCACTCGCTCGTCGCTGGCCGTAAGAGCACACCACGACCACTCGACACTGAATGTACGACCGGCCAACAACGCCCAGTCGCGGTCCGATCAAACGCTCCTCGGTACGCAGAACACATCGTCCACCACGATCATCGAGCAACCGCTGTCGTCCAAGCTCGGCGCGCTGGCCAATCCTTGTTCGCTGCATCGCCTGGCTACTCAAAATAATGAATCGAGCCCCAGTGCCCTGGCCTTGTGCCCTCAGATGCGCAGGTCTTCCCATGTGATAAAAGCAATCGATTCCGGTCATCTCCAAGTAGCTGTATGCCACATGCCCCACAACCTCTACCGAACCTCTGGCACCTTCCTTCGAGCGCTCCTCGCCAGTCGAAAGCAGAATGACCAAGTTCAAGCGAGACGCGACACGTGGTGCCAACCGGATACCGTAAGCGCATGGATCTTGTTTTTCGCAGTTTGGGCAATCAGCGCTCTTGGATGGCGTCCGTGGAAGATCCCTTCGGCGGTTATCGTTGTGCCCTTCCTCGCCCTTCCAGCCGCCGGCTGTGCGCCGGCCCAAGGGTCGGTTGCCTGCGCTTCATCGCCCGCCATCGCCTCCCGCCGTACGCATCTGTGCAGCTGGTGCCGTCGCTTTAGGATCGTCGGCGGCGGTATCCCGTCATCGCAGCCAGAATAAAATTCTGATGTCCCATGGCTGCTGGCTGGCCGATTCTTTTGTAAATCTAATGGTTGCATACAAACATGTAGATACAATAAAACATTGCATTGTATATGGTCCCACACCCGTTTGCTCATTTTCCTATATCCTCACCAGCATGACCAAGTACCAGAGCACGCGTGGTGGCGTCCGCGGCTTCTCGTTCGAGGAGGCAGTTCTTAGCGGCCTCGCGGCCGACCGCGGTCTCTTCGTGCCCGAGAGCATCCCGCAGCTGCCTGAAGGCGCGCTCGAGGCGTGGGCCAAGCTCTCGTACGAAGAGCTCGCCGTCGAGGTCATGAGCCTCTTCATCGACGACGCCGAGATCCCGCGCGCCGACTTGACGGAGCTCGTCGCCAAGGCGTACACGTGCTCGGAGACCAACTTCCGCGACCCAACGATCGCGCCTATCGTGCAGGTCAAGGACCAGCTGTACATGCTCGAGCTCTTCCACGGCCCGACGTTCGCCTTCAAGGACGTGGCGCTCCAGTTCCTCGGCCACCTCTTTGAGTACTTTTTGGAGCGCAAGAACCGCAACGAGACGTCGGGCAAGACGCACCGCATCACGGTCGTCGGCGCTACGTCGGGCGACACGGGCAGTGCGGCCATCTACGGCCTCCGCAACAAGAAGAACGTCGAGGTCTTCATCATGTACCCGCACGGCCGCGTCTCGGCGATCCAGGAGCAGCAGATGGCGTGCATCCTCGACGAGAACATCCACAACCTCGCCGTCAAGGTGCGCTTTTCCGCTCTTGTGCGACGCATTAGGCTCATGCAGCGTGGTATCTAGGGTACCTTTGACGACTGCCAGGCGATCGTCAAGGACTGCTTTGCCGACGCCGAGTTCAAGGCCGCCTACTCGCTCGGCGCCGTCAACTCGATCAACTGGGCGCGCATCCTCGCACAGATTGTCTACTACTTTTACGCGTACTTTCGCCTATCGCCCGAGGCGCAGAAGAAGGTGGCGTTCTCGGTGCCCACGGGCAACTTTGGCGACATCCTCGCCGGCTTTTACGCTATGGTAGACCTCCGCACCTTGTATTAACGCCTTCTCTGACGGCGAATGTGCGTAGAAACTCGGTCTTCCGATGCAAAAGCTCATCGTCGCGACGAACGACAATGACATCCTCCACCGCTTCTTCTCCACCGGCGCGTACCACCGGTCGGGCGTCTCGCACACGATCTCGCCGTCCATGGACATTTGCGTCTCGAGCAACTTTGAGCGATACCTCTTTTCGCTCTGCGGCGACGACGCCGCGGTCCTCCACCAGTGGATGAGCACCTTTGAAGCGACGGGCAAGCTCACGGTCGAGGGCCCGCTCCTCGCCAAGGCCAAGCACGAAATGGCGTCGTACAGCGTTCTCGAGCCGGTACGCGACGTCTTATGGGTCTTATTTGTCCTCATGCAAGGCTTCTAGGAGGTGCTGCAGACCATCCAGACGTACCACGACGCGCACAACTATGTGCTCGACCCGCACTCGGCGATCGGTGTCGCCGCCGGTGACGCCTACCTCCGCGACATGGCCGACCCGGACGTGACGGTGGTCGTGCTGGCGACCGCGCACTATGGCAAGTTTATGCCGACGGTGCAGTCGGCCTTCTCGACGCCCGTGGCGCTGCCGCAGCACCCGATCCTCAAGGCGCTCGAGTCGCTTCCGCAGAAGAGCCACGTGACCGAGAACAGCGTCGCCGCGGTCCAGGCGCTCGTCCGCGAGACGGTGCCGGTGGCCAAGAAGCAAATGCCGTGCTGCGTCTTTGGCGCGGCGAGCTACCTCCTCCCCGAGTCGAACGCCCTCAAGGCGGCGCTAGTCATTGCGGTTGGTGCGGTCGCGGTTGTTGCACTGCAGCGCTCGACCAAGCATTAGCGTTGATAGATCATAGTATTACAAATATACCTCCTTTGCTGTTATGGCGAACGACAGGCAAGGGTTGCGTCGCTTGCTGGACTCGTGTACCGCTGGAAGGACTAGAAGAGGGACATGGCCGCTATCGGTGAGACTGCCTTCGAGATTAGTCGTCCGGGTCATCGAAAGACGAATGGCCTTCCATACCTGGCACCGGTATGTAGACGATAGTCCATGGAGAGGGCTGGCGTAAAAACGCCCGTTCGTGCTGCCACGTCATTTATCCGGATAGAAAAAGATATTTCCGGACATATCTTTGCTGGTGGCGATCGTAGCACCGACGCAGTCACCGCGGCGGACTCTGTCGACCTAGCAATTCAGGAACGAGCGCATGCGCTGGGTGAGACGGAGTTCAAATCCTGGCGAAGTATGTGCATCGAAAGGGTGTCGTCGCACCGGCGTGCATGGTCCTTGGAAGAATGACTTCGCACACCTCTCAAGAGCTGCCGTCGACTCGAAAATACATTAGATTTCTTGCATATACGCACAATATCGGTACACGTTGTAATCAAACGCGCCAAACCAAAGGCCGACGAGGTAGCCGTCGGTTGAGATGCCACCAAGAATCGTCGCGGCCTCTCGAGGCGAGGCGTTGAAGCACCTGACGATCTTGACGTCACGCAGATGCGCGCGAAGGTGAGCGCGAAGCGGCTGGACGACGTTGCGGCAAAAGTCGCGGTGGGTGTCGCGGTTGAACAAGAGCGCGTGATAGGCGTAGCTGCGCCAGCCCCGCAAGATGTACGGGTGCAGACCGTTGGCCTCGACTACAGCGCGCCACGTGTCGGAGGCAGGGCTCGAATCGCTTTCGTATTGCAGCTCGGCGCTCTCCTGAACCGTCCCGGCCGTCGCGCAGAAGGCACAGGTACCGTCCTCCGACAAGTTGTACCAGTGCCACCCGAAGCCGTCGGGCACGCCACGCCCCTCCGACAGCGCAAGGCTGTCGTCGTCGAAAATCTTGACCAAATCGTCGCGACCCCACGTCGTCGACGTCGGATCTACGCGGCAGCTCGGCGCAAATAGCATCGGGGTCATGTAGCAGAAATCGAAGTCGTGCATACCACTGGCTGCCCCACCGTACGTCGCGTCGATGGGCGCAACGATCTCGGCGAGCTTCTGGAGCACTTTGAGCGCCCGGTAGAGAGCCTTGGGATTCGTGACGCTGGCCTTGGCGCGCGCGACGAGCTCGTCCTTGCTGAGGTTGGCTGCGTGGTCGACGTAGCCGTTGGGGACATGCTTGCCGCAGAGACGGTCCAGAAAACTTTTTCCTGCGTGGACGAGCTCGTCAACGTCGTAGAGCGTCGGGCAAAAGGCGAGGCAGTCGGTGCTAAAGTCCGTGATGGAGCCGACCAGCGACGGGTTGGTCAAGACTTCGCTGGCAATACAGAGACGTTTGGCTGGCGCCGATGGCGGCGAAGCAGCGCGCTTCAAGGAGGCCATTGAAGTGCTTCGAGGCAAATTGAAAAGTGAACGAGAAAGGATCCTGTTTGGATGTCAACGGCCGTTGGGATTGGTCGCACGCACCAGATTTCAACCAAGCGCACCATTTGATTGGGCCGCTTTCACGGTAGAATTCTATGTGATTGGACAGCCCGTTGCATTTGTAAAAGAAGATCGCCGCGTCGGAGCGTTGAGTGGCCGTGTGTTGCGGCGCCCTGTCGCTCAAAGTCTGGTACAGTAGTTGGCTGGGACGAGGGCCAATGTGTTGGATGTGGCAGTTTCGCACGAGCGCCGAGTGTCGAGCGACCCAAGGCACAAGTAGTAAGGTTGAGGGCCGTTGCGAGGATCCCTTCGTGCTGGGTTTTGCAATTATGACTCGTGGCAGATCATTGCCATGGACCCTTGTAACGGGGTAGTTTGGATCATTCTCGGTCGCCGCGCTTGGGTGCTGTGTGCTGTCCTACAGAACAGGGCATGCAACGCACTGTACCTGACACTAGCTCGTATTTCAACCATACAAGCGATCCATTGTTGACGCTTCGAACGTTGGGCGTTGACGGGCTAAACCATCAAATGTAAAAAAACACTGGCGATTCGTCTCTGTGCCACGACTCGGACGTGTTCGGATGCAGACCGTAGGCGTCAACGAGCGCAACCCGCTCAGCCGCCATCGCGTCACCATTGTTCTCCAAAATAACAGCCGACGTGCAGAACGCGCAGTTATCGTCGTCCGACAAGTTGTACCAGTGCCACCCGACGCCATGGGGAATGGAAAACCTGTCGCCTACAAGATCGGCGCGATGCCCCCGCTCATCGACGTCGGGTTCGGGCGGCAGCATGGTGCCATCAGCAGAGGACTGATGTTGTAAAAGTCGAAATGACCAACGGATGGTCGTTTCTACGTCCTCAGCGCGCGCGCAGTGATCTCGGCGAGCTTTTGACGCACGACTTTCGCCCGATGGAGGGCCTTGTGGTCCATGACGCTCGCCTTGGCGCAGACGGCGAGCTCTTCGCGGTAGAGGTGGTTGTCGATGTAGCTGTTCGTGATGCGTGTGCTACGAAGGAAATGGAGGTAGCTCATCCCATTCTTTCATCCCAATCTTTTCAAACATATTTTCGTGGTAGAGCGTCGGGCAAAAGGCGAGGTAGTTGGTCCTCTAGTCCGCTGGCCAGCGGCGGGTTGTTGAACACGGCACTGGCACTGCAGGAACGGCTGGTCGGCGGCGGCAGTGGCCAAGCAGAGCGCTTCGAGAAAACCATGGAGGTGCTCCGAGACGAAATAAAAACTCAAGGAAGAAATCGTTTTGCAAGACAAGGTGCAAAGGCGATGTGAGTCACTGGAATATACTTCACTTACAACACATCGACAAAGCCAAAGAAGACGCCGACGAGGTACCCGTCGGGCGACACGCCACCGAGAAACGACATGCTCGTGACCTGGTCGCAGTCGTCGCAGTATTAACCTGGTTGATCCTGCCAGTAGTCATACGCTTGTCTCAAAGATTAAGCCATGCATGTCTAAGTATAAACAATTTGTACTGTGAAACTGCGAATGGCTCATTATATCAGTTATAGTCTACTTGGCAGTACCTTACTACTTGGATACCCGTAGTAATTCTAGAGCTAATACATGCGTAAATACCCAACGACATGCTCGTGACCTGGTCGCGGTCGTCGCAGTAAGCGCACGTGATGAACTTGACGTCACTCAGATGTGCTGTGAGATGCGTCCGCAGCGGTTTGATGACGTCGCTGCAAAAGGCGCGGTGCGCGTCGCTGTTTTGAACCAGTGCCTTGTGAGCGTAAGCACGCCAGGACCGGAATGCATTGATGTGCAGACCGTGGGCGGCAATGAACGCGCGCCAATTGTCCGAGATCTCGTTGTGGTGCTCGCCGTACCCATACTCATCTTGCAGCGCGTAGTCGATCTCGATAGTGCCAGCCGTCGCGCAGAAGGCGCAACCACCGTCCTCGGACACGTTGTACCAGTGCCACCCAACGCCGTTGGGGACTCCAGAGCCGTTCTCACGGAACTCGATTCCGTCGTTGTTGAAAATCTTGACCAAATCATCGCGGCCCCACGTCGTCGACGTCGGATCTACGCGGCAGCTTGGCGCAAACAGCATTGGGCGTACATCGTAGATGTCGAACTGCATGATACCGCCGGCCTGCCTGTAGTGATGTTTCGTGATGGGTGCGACGATCTCGGCCAACTTGTGGCGCACTTGGAGCGCCCGGTAGAGAGCCTTGTGGTTCTTGACACTGGCCTTGGCGCGCGCGACGAGCTCCTCGCGGTTGAGGTTGGCTTCGTGGTCGACGTAGCCGTTGGGGACGTGCTTGCCGCTGAGACTGGTAACGAGATCGTGCCAAGGACCCCACTTGGTCTCGTACACGTCGTAGAGCGTCGGACACAGGTCGAGGCAGCTGGCGGTAAAATCCGAGATGGCGCCAACGAGCGACGGGTTTGTGAGCACAGCCCTGGCGCTACCCGTTTGGTCCGACGAGGAGAAAGGTGCAGTGGGCTTTGACGAGGACATGGCGATGGACGCGGCAAATTTTGAAAAGTGAATTGGACCATGCGAAGACTGCACCTCCGTGTGAAAGCGGAAATTGTTGCTCTCAATACAAGCTTTAAGAGATTAAAAACGAACCGTGGCTTCCATTCCACCTGCGGTGTACAATCAAAGACCATCATTGCGTTTGTCGAATATCGCACAGTAGAGTTGGACCCTGGGACGACACGAGTGCCGTTCTCACATCTCTTTCTCGACTAGGTAGCTTGCAGGCAGTCCATTTGATGGTTAACTCGGTATCGAAAAAGTGTTGAGATGACAGTTGGAGTAGCAAAACCTCTCTCATACGTCTCTTTCACGTAGGAGAGACACGTGCGCTTGAGGCAGATGATCTTCAAACCTTTAATTGAATGATGGAGGCAGAGATATCGTGCCCTTGTCGCCCAAGGGTCATCGGTATCGGTATCTTCTACGCAAATGAGTGGACAAGGTAATTGCGCTGTAGATATCAACATGTCTTGCCGGTATGTCCGTTGCTCCATTGCCATTGCTCTGCTCATTTCGCATTTCTCACGTCATGATCCATAAATCCTGTCTGAAACACTGGATTCAAACAAGATACGGGGCGTTCACGGATTTAACGCGTTTAACAGAATGGCCAATGGCATCGCAGCATTCCGTTTGGAAGATGGGCCGAGCAGCGACGATGGCGGTCGGCGCGGTCGTCCTCGCGGCCATCGCCGGCGTCTGGCACACTGGGCTCCTGGAGCCTTACTACCACGCACTCCTCCATGGCAATGCGCCCGATGCCACGTACTACGAGGTGGGCACTCGCGCCAGCGGAAGGTCCCTCGTCATGCGCTGTTGCCTCTAGGTGCTACGCATCGCTCCAACAGCATCCGCCAGCGAGATCGCGGCGGCCTATCGGACGCTGTCACGTGAGTACCATCCCGACAAGACCAAGTCTCTCTCGCCTGCGATGCGCGACGCGCACACGCAAGCGTTCTACCGTGTCGCCGGTACGCGTCCGCTTCTGTGATCCGGCTCATGCGGGCGATGGACTAGCGGCGTACGAAACATTGTCCCACGACGACCGCCGACGAGACTACGATCGCCAGCTACACCAAGTCTCTAAGCCGCCGTCCATGACGTGGCAATCGCGCGTCTATCTCTGGTGGTGGCAGCTGTGGTATTCCATGTCGTTTGAAACCTGCGGCTACATCGTGTGTGGCCTCGGCCTCGTCACAATTCTCTGCGAGTACGTGCTGGCTCCCATCCAGCAGCGCGTCTTCCGCTACCGCTACCCGCCATCGAATTCGGATTTGCAGCAGCCTGGCTCGAGCCTATACGAAGCCCGCCTGCGGCTCCAAGCCAAGTACGATGCCGACGCGCAGCGCCATTTGCACCACCGACGGGCGACACGAGTGCGTTAAACGAGTAGTATTCCACTTGTACGCAATCACGTCTTGGTCGTTGGAAGGGTCTTGTCCATATCGGTGGCGCCTTGGGCCTTGCGGACAAAGCTCTGCTTGACGTCGGTGGCGACTGCGTTGAGGAATTCGCTCGGAAAGTGCAGCGCGGCGTCCGCGGCCAAGGTCTTGAGGTCTTTGACATTCTACTTTATCGGTGCCAAAAGTACTGAATAGGGGAATAGGGCGACCTTGAAGAGCGGCACGACTTGGTCAATGAGCGCGCGGATCTTGTCGGGCTCGACGTCGCTGTAGATATTCGTGACGGCCACAAACACCTTGTCGATGGCATTTTGCCGCTCGCTATAGCACCCTTGAGTTTCAACTCGGATAATTACCGTAAAAAGTACCGGGCCATTTCGTCCTGAAGGGCGAAGAGCCGATCGCGGAGCTCGGCGCCGTCCACTTCGGCAGCGGTCGGCGGAAACAAGCTTGTGGCATACCGAATGAGAAATTTGATGTCCTTGAGCGACTTGATCTCTGTGTAGATTGACTATTCGCACGCGACCTTATCATTCCATTCACGAAATTCGAGTTTCGTACCAGCACCATGGGTTCCACGGCCATAGGATCGATTCGATCAAAGTAAATATTGCGGATCTTGAGCTCGAGCTCGGCCGCCAGCTTCTTCTTCTGGTTGTCTTGCTTGAGCTGTATAAACTGCGATCGCATCGCGGTCGCCGTCGCCGCAGGGTGGTCGCTGGCCGCGATCAAGTTGGGTGGAAATAGACGCTCCAGGTTGCGGATCAGACTCTGGACGTCGTCCTCGGTCGGAAACTCTTTGATCGCGCGCTTCATGAGGCGGCGGATGCGCTCCATGCCGTCGTTCGTATCGGCGCTTTCGCGGTACGGCTATTTCCACGCCATCATCAGTATTCGTCCACGCAACAGAAGGGCGAGGGGTACCCCGTCTTTGAGTTTTTCAAACAGAATTTGCTTTTGCTGGCGCCGGATGTCCTTGCGGTGGAGGTAGCGTAGCACGCTCGCGCAAACGGCTTGCGCCTGCTTCTCGCTCTTGCCGACGACCTGCGTGGCAGCAAGGAGCTTGGCGGCCAGCGGGACGCGGTCGAGGTCGAGGACGATGAGGTGCTGCATGCGGCCAAGTTCGCACGGCAAGTCGCGCAGCTCGGTGCGATTGAGGTCGAGAACCTGCAGCTTGGCGCACTTGTGGATCGAAGGTGGGATTGACTGCAGCGGGTTGTCGTTGAGCCAAAGAAATTCGAGCGCGGCAAGCTGCCCGATCGCATCGGGGAGGACGCGGACGTGGTTGAAGCCGAGATCCAAGCGGTACAAGGCTGCAAAATTGAGGCGAAAAAGGTCACTCGGCACGGCGCGCAGGTTGAACTGCACGAGGTGCAGCAGCCCCGTCTGCTTGGCCTCTTCGAGCTTGCTTAGAAGGTCCACCATGCACGACCTTTGGATCCACCGATGGATCTATTTCGACCCACTTGTTGCAAAAGATGGAAATGATTGGAGAAAGATTCGAAAATAAGATTGGATAAGGTTAATAGGATAGCAGACGCGCTGCAGGATAGGCGGGTTTGTTAGATGTTGAGAAGGTCTTCGAGGATGCGCATCTCGAACGGATCGATGGTCGCACTCGCTTGCGTCGTTGGTGGCGCAGCGTCGTGGAAGAGGATGCTGTCCAGGATCGCATGATCGAGCATTTCCGTTGTTGTCGCTGGCTCGGCCGGCTGGTGCTTGAGGCAGAAGCCCCCCGCCCGCGAATGGTACGAGCAGCCATCGACTTTGCAAAAGCGGCCGCCGCCGTGGCGCACGCATTTCTGGTTGGCATGTGCTTGCTTGGAGCAGCCGTCGACGAGGCAGTAGCGCTTCAAGACGTTGCCGCCGTGCTTGCCGCAGAAGCGGCCGCCGCGCGCGTAGAACGAGCAGTTGGCGATGGCGCAGACGCGCTTGCCGCCATGGCGAACGCAGAGATACCGGGCGTAGACTTGGTTGGGGCACTCGGGAATCGAGCACACGCTGCGGTTTTGTGCTGTTGGCAGCGCTGCAGACCCGGGAGCGCCGTCGCGGCGCACTCGTTAAACACGCACTGGCTCATGGTTTCTTATAAATTGGATAATGACCAATCTGACCAAAGTCGCAAGACGAATAAATCCACCGCAAAATGCGCGCGGCGACAGACCATCCGGTGGCTGGTTGACGAAGATCCAGTTGCATTTTGGGATATTTCAATGGATTGCATGGCCTGTGATTGGTCACGTGAAATTCACACTTGTTTGTGATTGGCTGAGCGGGTTTAGACCACAACCCACGGCCACGTTACCGCAGTGGAATCAATTTCTACTACGGCACACTCGGAATTCGACTATCAATATCAACAAAGTGCGCTATATGACACAGCGTAGACGCGAATGGATTTACCTCGGACCCTTCACTCACTTAGTCAGAGGCCCATCCATCACCCATCTCGCTAGAGCTGTGAGCTAGGGTTATCCTGCGCATCCCGCCATCCACACCGCAGAGATCTACCGCAGAGATATTGAGACCCTCGACTTTCGTCTCAACAAGATAGAGAGCCCTATTATAGTGTGTTGATACTGTAGCGAGAATTGTTGCAAGCTTCGATTGTACTGCGATCGAAACAACGAGCAACGAGAGGTCCGCAAAACGACAGACAACATCTCCATTCTTGATAGGGCACTAAAATCGCTTTTCGATGAAACAATATTGAAACAAGTACACTAAAGGTATATATTGATGATGATATCCTGGCTATTCAAAATGCGAGGGTGGCGGACTGCATCGACCCCATTTTCATGTCAGTCCGAACGGGCGCAGTGGTTAAAACGTCGTGGGTTATATTGCTTGCGAGCGCTCACTGTTGTAGCTAGAGCAGAGCGTCGACTCGGTGTCAAATATGTGACTGTTGGTCGGCAGCGGCTTCTTGCGCAGCATGTGCCACGCCGCGAGGCCGCAAAAAACCGGCAGCGAGAGACCGACGCCGGCAATGATCCACGGCCAATTGACTATCCAGAGACATGAGAATACTATCCACGATGCGCATTGGATAGATAGGATACCTGCCGCGGCCGGCGTTTCGCGTGGTCGCTCGGCATCCAAGACGCACTGGGCGATCGAGGGACACGTGAGGACAAACTCGTCGCTTGCAAAGTCGACCATGCCCTGGATGCTGGCCTGGCACTGGTCGAGCGTTCCGAACGGGGTGCAGAGGCGGCTGTCGGTCGAGTAGCATTGGTTCGGGCTCAGCACGCGGAGGGCGATCCACGAGTTCTTGATCGGCGAGCACTGCCAAAGAAACGACGCGGGCACGTCGCCGGTCGAGGTCGCGCTGCGGATGAACATGGCTTTGGCCACGGAGCACCACGTCGTGTTTTGCTCGTAGCCCGTGCTGCCCCAGAAGCTCATGTGGGTCGCGCCACAGAGCGCGGCGCGGAGCGTGGCGACCGACGTGATGCGCGCGGCGCAGTCGGCCATCGTGTTGTAGAAAACGCAGTTGACCGCGTCCGTCGAGAAGCACCCGACCTCGTGGCTCTGGGGCACGATGGCCACGCGCATGAAGAGCGTCGGCGCCGTCGGCGGCTCGCGCTCCATGCACTTCCAGTTGGCCGTCACCGCCGAGAGCGCGGTCGACTCGGTGGACGTCCGGACGAGGAACGACTCGACGCTGCGGTCCCAGCGGCCCATGACGGACGTGTTGTAGCGCCAGATGGCCATGTTGCCTTGGCTGTGGGGGCCATCAAACGTCACAAACTCGTAGCCGCCCTGCACGGCCACGGACGAGATGGGCTGGTTCCAGTCCGGCAGCACCTCGCCGCTCTTGGCGCCGAGCGGCAGGTCGCGGCGCTCGCCGACGAAGCCCGGCCGCGCGAAGATGGTCACCTGCGCGTACGCGGGCAGCGCCAGCAGCGCCAGCACGGCGACGAGCGCGCGCCATGGCAGCGGCGAGGACGGGTCACCCCGACGTCGACGCATGTTCAAACTTGCCTTTCGCTTGTCCGAGGGTTTCTATCACTTGGAGATTGTATCTGGGACACTCGAACCGTATTATATACGCTAGGTCGGTGGCGAAAATGCATATTTGCGCGTCGCGTTTCAGCGCCAGCGAGCGATTCGCGTACCCAGTAACGAATTAGCAACGAGAGGCATGAATTGCGCGTCTTTCAGCGCGCATTCAGACGATGTAAGCGAATGGACGAGTGCAAGACAGGGTTGGAATGCCGCTCGCCGATGCTGGGCAAGGCGTAAGTTCGCGGGACGCGCCGCCTTGGTCGTTGGGGAGCAATTTTTGGCCGCGCGCCACGGCCGGTGTCGTCTGTATCATTGGGTACACCCCCGACTCTACTCGTTCGATAGCAGAACGCTGGCTTCGACGACTTATTGACCGCGAGGAATTAGCACCAACATCGCATCGGCACGTCGCGAGAGCGGTGATATATACATGTAGGCCGCCACGCCTGATCTGTTGGTTCCGATGCAGCGTCGTCTCGCGTGTCGTCGTCTGGCCGTCCTGCCACGTTCAACGAACGGTTATGTGATAAGTTTAAAAGCGCTTTTTAAGATTCTGGTCGCGCCGGCATGACGTGCATCGACCATCGCGCAGAAAGCACCATGCCCACTTGGCGTTATGCAAGCACGAGATGCAGGCTCAGCGCGTGCGCCTCGCGAAGCGCGGTGTGCTACGACAGGTCTCAAATAAGCATGCTGGCTTTTAATCGTGTTGTATATTGCTATTTAACACACCTCGACAGATCGTCCGCCAACGAGACCTACAAATTGCACCATCCGACCGATGTTCCTCGAGCCTCTTCCGCGTCGTCGCTGAGATTTGTCAAGAATGCGGATGCCATGAGTCGACCGCCTTTTGTCCAGATGGTGGACTCCTGCTTCTCATGCAGAAGGCGCGGGGTTCGAGTCTTGTGGTGTTGTCCCTTTCTTCTCTTTCCCATTGGCGTTGACATCGGGATTGTCAATTTGATTCTTGACTCGACGACGGCGTTGCGGTCGCCAACTCGTTTCGAACAAGACGGGTACGTAGCGTCGAGGAGCAGTGAGGACTCGGACGGGGCACCGTCGATAGAGTATTAGCACTCAGATGGCGCAATACAGCACCAAGAGGAGGTCCGATGCCGAGGTCACTCACTGCCTGCCACGACGAAGCATGTGCAGCTTCTACTAGAGATGAATTCGACATGAAAATATTCTGGGAGAAGAAATGTGGGGAAATGAGGATCGAGGCTGCTCGATCTAGCTCGGTACGGAGGAAAGGTGCCCCGTGGGTGCGTCATAATTTGAAACGTTTTCAATGGCTTGCGTCGGCTTGGTGATCCAAGCTGTTTGGACGAGCGAGCCACACGGCGCCTGCGTCACAACCCCCTTCATGCGAGTGCAACATTGTCCACATTAAAATAATATTATTGTCGCCTACATAAATCCTAGTGTCCTAACATCGCGCACTATTATCTTACGGGGTCGGGAATTCTCGAAATGCGCTTGGCGACGTGCACGAGTCACAGCGGCTTGAGAGGACTGTGTCGTCCAAGCTCGCTCGCATCGTTCCATCCACGCTCGCTCGGACCGCTGGCCGTAACGCAGAGATGTAGTAGCGTTGGGCAATCACCATGGACGACAAGACGCCAACGACGCTCGCAACGGTCCACACGACGCCTACAAGCTACCGCGTCAGATTCCAGTCGACAAGGAAACACACTCGACGTACTCGTTGTGACGACGACCGTCTGCACGCTCAAGCACGACGCTCCACAGAGTGTTTCGCAGTACGTGCAGCCTGGATCCGATGGCAGCAGAAGCGCCGTGGCCGCTTCGCATGAGGCGGCGGATGGAAACTGCTGGCACGGTTCTGCTTCGTCAAACGAAGGAAGGCAGTGGGTCGTGTTGTCGTCGATCTTGCGCAGTGCGAGGATCGTGTTGCCGCTGGTGTTGCAGACCATGTTGCTGCTGCTCTCGGCGGCGCTGTGCAGCGAGGCATTGGCCGTGGCGCACCAGCCGCCGCTGCCCCAGAGGCCGGCGTTGTCGAGAGGGCAGCCCACGGATTTTGTCGCGTTCGGACTGGCGAGCTGCGAGGGCCAGAGCCAAATGCTGGTTTCGGTCGTGCAGTTGACGCCGTCGACCGAGTAGCACTCGGGCGTCGTCGTAGCCGCGAGGCGGACCGCGGTAAAGCCGTCCGAGCGCGGGAGGAGGCGCCATGGACCGGAAGCCGCGGCCGCCACGGACCCGAAGCAGAAAAAAAGAAGGTTGTTCCGTGTCATGGATAACTCAAGAATGGCAATGCCAGCG